AAAATTGATGCACACCAGTGGGGAAATTGTTTATAGATTCGTGGTGGCAGTATGCCGTGACAGATGAAAGAGATGTCTCAAAACCTTTCATCTCACCTATGGCAACAAGAGCTCACATGCAGATTTGTTATGTCTATGATAGAATTCTGACCACAAACCAAAGAAGAAGCATCAAGATCTAACTGTAATGATTATACCAATCCTTCTCAGGTATTCTCGAATCTATTGTGGGAATAGTTTAATCAAACACAAGAAAATATAGGACTCCCAAACCAAAATTCCTATAGTTCAAATACAACTGTTTCTAATTCTTCCTCTTATTCTATAGTGAACTTTCTTTTTCAGGTTCACAAATGAGCACAGAGGAGAAAATGGTTATCAAAAGAATTTATGCCCTTCAATATCTTTTGCATAAGACCAGTTTTCAGCTTTTTTCTTGGCTTGCTACATTCATCATCAAACCATCCTTTATGAGGGTTTTTAGATTTTCTTGATTGTTGTTTATAAGATAATAGAGACATAAGATGCTGGGTGATGGTTTAGAAAGATTATAACATGTTAGTTTCAGTTCTAGAGACTTCCTAAGGAACAGATGGTATAAGTTGTTCAAGACTTAAGGAACAATTTTGCTAAAGCGATGAATGAGTTTAGAGACTTTATCATTAAGGGAGTCAGGAGAGAAAGATGATCTTATCAGCTCTGTGTTGTAACTGGAAAGGCAGATACTCCCAGAAGCTTATTTCAGTGTAAATGTGAGAACTTCAAAGTGGATAACATCACTCTGGAATAAACTAAAATAATTTAGAGGAAATCTATATGGCTTGCCATCAAGACAGCACACATTAGAAGTAGTTAAGAGAAAATGATGGGGCTAAGCAGTGGTATAGTGGTAAGGCAACTGGGCCTACATTTGAAGGTCCTAGGTCCATTTCCTGGGGCCTCCCTGTATGGACTGGATATGTACATATGCCTGTAACCTAGGCTGGCTGAAGCTGAGGGTATATTGTAGTGTGAAGACCCTGCTGGGGAATTTCTCTCTCGCTGCTTCTTTCTTTCATAAAATAAATGAATGAGTGAATGAATAAAAAATTTTAAAAATGTGACTTGTGCATGAAAATTATAGATGAATGTAACATCATACTAAGTAAAATAATTTGACCTGACATGGTTACATCAATTACTATGCAAATCAAAGATAGTTTTTATTAGTAATATTATAAACCAATATTGTAGTGCTGACTGTTCAAATAGTCTTTTTTTTTGTGGCTTTCAAATTCCATGACTGTTAGTTTGAACTGGTTGACTTGTAGCAGGGACACACATAATGTAATCATATGAGAAGGGCATCTTCTGTTTTTAATTGGAGCCATACTGAAAATCATGGGAAGACATTTCCTTTTCAGACTGGCAGAGCACTCAAGTTGAAAAAAGAAAAGTAGACACCCTTACCCTGAAATACTCATTTAAGATACATCACGTAAATACAGATAGGTAAATCTTTCTAAAAGAGGTGAAAAAGGGAACCAGCAGTTAGCGTAATGACTATATCGCTGGACTCCCACGTAGTAGACTGTGGTTCACGTTCCGGACCCGTCGGCTTAAAACTCATGCCGGGTGCGTGTGCATGTGTGCCCAAGATCCCGAGGAGAATGGAGGAGAAGGGATTGCAGCGTGACCATCCCCCCTGGGGGGTGATTTCTCGCTTTCTGTCTCTATGTCTCTCTGTCTGTCTGGCGAGTGCACGCGCCCTATAGCAAAAACCTTCCCCCTCTCCCCCCCAAAAAAGGGGGCGGTGCCGCGCGCCTAAGAAAAAAGTCCCCAAATAAAAAAAAAAAAAAAAAAAAAAGAAGTGTTTTGTAGCCACCTGTGATTTTGGGCTGACTCAGCTGCAAGTTTATTACTTCCTTTTCTTCTAGGATATTGCTCTTAGGTACCTGAGTCTTAACTTTTTCCAAATAGGATAAGTACTGAAAGGGTGGTATATTTTCTTGTGGGAGGACACACGGTATCCTATCACTTAAAATCTGTTCTACAGCAGCATGACCAAGCTTCAAGCTGCTAGCAAAATGTCACATTCTTTACTGTGTCTGTAGGCTCTCACATCTCTGAGATGCATTCCCACTGGCCATGTAAAAGGACCATGTGAATCATGCAGAACTGATGCAGTGTCAATAACTTTTGGGGTATTTGTAAGCATCGAGAACCACAATCGATTCTGACCCTCAGTTCAGGGCTGAAAAAACAGACTCAGAAGGAAACCTTGTCACCTCACTAGTCAGCCCATTAATGAATGCATCCTGGTTTAGAAAAGGAGCCATGCAAGAAAGTGAATCCATATCTGACAGAGAGGTAAAATGAGGTACTCTCCATCTCCGTTTCAGCTGAATGTCCTGAGACTTAAAGCATAACAGTAGCTAAGAAACCACATTTTCCAAGGAATGTCTGGACAACTTAGTCACAATTTGCAAAAGTATAGACAAAATCAAGCTCTGTAAATTCTTGTCTCCTCAAAAAACTTACGAGACAAAGAAGAAGAAAGGGAGACAATTTCTGGAGAGGACTTTTCCAAATGTTTTGTGGTCTTCTCTTCCTTTGTGGTGTTGCTTCATCCTTGCTTTAAGCCAAGCGAGAGCAGCCTTTCTAAAATCAATGTGAAAAGCTAGACACATGGTTTTGGTGCTCAGGGAGCATTAGAACTGGTACGAGCTATTGCAGCTATAGAGCAGCATTAACACGGCAGAGTAGGGGACAGTCCTCATTGGGAATTCACTGCATTTTCAACAATGGCAGAGCAAAGATGCTTGGGTATTTCTGAAGATCAAATGTGAACAACTGAGGAGAGTATGCCTAGTGTGGTTGTGAATATTTTCCAAGAGGATGCCTGGAGGGGCACATTGCCCCCAACAGAGTGATGGACAGCTGGATACCAAGGGGCTAGAGAAGGAATCCAGCTATAAAGAGAAGTTGTACCTCTAAAGTTTTAGCCAGATGCTCTCACTGTGGGGAGGGAAGGTTCTCTAAGGAATCATAAAAGCACTCTTAAAGATAAGAGTAGCATCGAGACCAGCAGTTGGCATAATAGCTATGTCGCTGGACTGCCACGTTGTCGACCACGGTTCGAGACCTGGACTCGGTGTCTTAAACTCATGCTGGGTGCGTGTGCATGTGTGCCCAAGATCCCGAGAGGAGAGTGGAGGAGAAGGGATTGCGGTGTGGCCAGCTCCTCTAGGGGGTGATTTCTTGCTTTCTGTCTCTCTGTCTCTCTCTATAAACTAAAGTGCACACGCCCCATAGCAAAAACCTCTAAAAAATTTTTTTAAAAAGAGTAGTATGCTATGTCCAGAGAGCACATTGCTGGGTTTTATCTACACCAGTAAAGTAAGCCTTTCCTGTCCTTAACATCTCCTCTCTACTCTGATCTATTGTAGAAAGAAGTAGCAGAGTAGTAAAGCAAAATGGAGATATTGTAAATGAGTCAGCATTCTCTCCTTTTCTTCAGGATTTTGAGACTGAGGCAGACCTGAACTTGGGGAAGAGAATGTCTTAGGTGATTATAGCACAGGAGTGGACAATTTTAGTACTGAAATGATACTCTGTCTGAAAGTGATTAGAGAGCTCTTAAAGTAGTGTTAAAGTTGTGGGACCCACCTACAATTTTATTGCTCTCCAGGTGTTCACCTTCCTGCCTGCATTGACCAATACGCCTAGCGTTGAAGTCTAAATAAGCATACATCTTTTTCACACATCATTTTGTAGAGTCAAATTGATGTAGTATTCGTTGGCTCAATGATGATCAGTATATCATTTAATCTCCCCTGACATTGTTTTTTGTTTTATGCAAAATAAAATGAACAATTTGATTAAAAGTACAACAAAAATGTTAAAAAGCAAAAACCTTATCAATCAGAGAGCCAATATAATTACCTCATGGAAATGGCATCTGCGTGTGCATGTGTGCCCAAGATCCCGAGAGGAGAGTGGAGGAGAAGGGATTGCGGTGTGGCCAGCTCCTCTAGGGGGTGATTTCTTGCTTTCTGTCTCTCTGTCTCTCTCTATAAACTAAAGTGCACACGCCCCATAGCAAAAACCTCTAAAAAATTTTTTTAAAAAGAGTAGTATGCTATGTCCAGAGAGCACATTGCTGGGTTTTATCTACACCAGTAAAGTAAGCCTTTCCTGTCCTTAACATCTCCTCTCTACTCTGATCTATTGTAGAAAGAAGTAGCAGAGTAGTAAAGCAAAATGGAGATATTGTAAATGAGTCAGCATTCTCTCCTTTTCTTCAGGATTTTGAGACTGAGGCAGACCTGAACTTGGGGAAGAGAATGTCTTAGGTGATTATAGCACAGGAGTGGACAATTTTAGTACTGAAATGATACTCTGTCTGAAAGTGATTAGAGAGCTCTTAAAGTAGTGTTAAAGTTGTGGGACCCACCTACAATTTTATTGCTCTCCAGGTGTTCACCTTCCTGCCTGCATTGACCAATACGCCTAGCGTTGAAGTCTAAATAAGCATACATCTTTTTCACACATCATTTTGTAGAGTCAAATTGATGTAGTATTCGTTGGCTCAATGATGATCAGTATATCATTTAATCTCCCCTGACATTGTTTTTTGTTTTATGCAAAATAAAATGAACAATTTGATTAAAAGTACAACAAAAATGTTAAAAAGCAAAAACCTTATCAATCAGAGAGCCAATATAATTACCTCATGGAAATGGCATCCACACTTCCCCTGCAGAAACTCTTTATATCTCCCCATTGTTACAGTGAATGTGTCAACTACTTCATAGCCATATTTTTTTGCAGTATCCACAATAATGACATTTTCTTTCCATAAGTTTTGTACTTCACTCTGTAACACAAACCAGAATAATGAGGGTTTTAATTGACAGAATATGGTTTTATGATTTAATAACTCAGTCAAAAATCATCCAAATGGTATGGCCAGGGATTGCACATATTATCATATAAAGAATTTCACATGCGTTTCTTAAAGATGTATTTTAATTCTTTTTTTACTCAAAATGTAAATGTAACCCATTTATGAAATCTGCAATATAGAAATATCTGAGGTGGCATAGTCTTGAATTTTTCTTTCAATCAAAGTAATTAAATTTATTGCCCAAAGACCCATCCAAAGTATCTAAAATTCTCCATTAAAAAAAACCCAATGTTGAGAATTACAAATGCTACCTTCATTTATTTATTTAGATTCTCAGTCCTATACTTAAATGCTAATTAGTCTCTGTACTGTGCTAAGCTCGTGCTGAAGGACAGCAATTCAAGGATCAATAAATCATGATCCCTGCTCTTAAGACACCACATGCTAGTGGCAGAAAACACACACAGTTGGTCTTCCCTCTTCACAGGTTCCACCTCCACCGATTCAACCAACCATGGTTCAGAAATGTCCTATTTTTGTTGACATGTACAATGTCATTAGGCCCATGATGGTTGTGTCTGACTGAAGATGCTGAGAATTATTCTTGTTGTTATTCCTTAAATACATAAAAATTTACACAGCCTTTACATTGTATTAGGTTTTATAAGTAATGTAGAGATGATTTGAAGTATACATAGATTACGTGCAAATACGATGCCATTTTATATGAGGGATTTGAACATCTATGGGTTATGGTATCAGTGGGGGTCCTGGAACCAATCCCTATGGATGCTGAGGGGGAAATATAGAGACACTTTGCAAGTCCTTTATTGGAGGTACCACTATCAGATGTAGCTGGTCAGTGAGGCTTCAAGAAGGGCTTCTTGAGCAGTATTGAATGAGGTTCACTAGTTGGATGGGGGATAAATTGAAAGGGGGAATGTACTTCGAGGTGCTGCAGAATTGAGTGGAGGCTCCAGGTGCTGGTACTTTGGATCATGTTCCTCCCTTCCTCCTCTGCCATATTCCAGATGAAGATCCCACATGGCTGGAGCTCTAGTCAGCTCTACTGTCAGAGAGAGGGACACCACTGCTACCTACTCCAGCTCCAGGACTTCTCATTGGCCTGGCCATGAGGTTCTCAGAACTGAGCTGCAATCTGAGACTCTTCTTACTCAATGCATGCTTCTTCCTCTCCTTTCATGTCATATGGATTACAGCCAAATACAGTTCTCAACACATAGTAGGCATTCAAAAGATATTTGGTGCAAGACTGAGTGAAGTGTATTGGACATCATTGTCTGAACCTCTTTCCGCCCATTCCTACACCTCTGTCTTTATCCTTTCTAAGCATTCCCTCTTATAAATCCCTCATTTTGTAAATCCCTCACTCAGCTAATCCTGTCTTGGTGTATTGTTTCTCAGAGAACCCAAACTGACACACGTACACACAGGAAATTGCATTTTCCCCCTTTTTTAAAGGAAAAAAAATTTTCTTCTTGTAAAAAAGGAAATAATTACTTGAATTTTTAAATTCAACTGGAAGGTAAAAGAAACAGTACAAATAAAACTTATTTTTTGTCTTCTTCACTGTGCTTGCTGCTGATTTTTATGTGACATTCAAAGAAGACTGTTTCCTTCAAGATAAAAGCAATGGATAGAAAAGGCTCATAAAGAAGAAATCTGGAGGAAAAGAGGCATATGCAAATTTTCTTTGTGTCTCAAACAGTGTGTGAAAAAATGATGCTCGATAAACTCATTGTAGGCTTTTTCTAGTCCAGTCACAAGTGTTTTCTCACTTTTCTTTTTATTTTGTTTTTAGTTTTGTTGTAAGGCATGTGTGCTTGCCATAGACAAAGAGGGAGAGAGAGAGAAAGAAAGAGATAGAAAAGAGTGAGAGAGAGGGAGGGAGAATGAAAGAGAGAGAGAGAGAAATTGAGAAATCATATCCCAGGGGGCATGGCCACACCACAAACAATCCTTTCTCCTCCATTCTCTTGTTGGGATTCTGGGCATGCATGTCTATGCTCCTGGCATGATTTTCAAGCCAGAGGATCCAGGACTCAAACCGTGCAGGTGGCCATATGGGATCCAACTGCCTTAACCATCATGCCACCTGCTGACCCTGTTTTTTCAATTATAATGCATCTTATGAAAGAACTTTAAAGTAAGAAGTTTCCAGAAAAGTTTTCTATGGGCGACAGACTCATAAATGGAAATTTGCATGCAAAGGACTCATAGGAAATCACTACGGATGACTACCTTTGAGGAAAAACAAAGAGAGAAATTGGGCAGGGGGAGGAGTTGACTATAATGAAACAATAAAGACTTTCACTGGTTTCACTGGAGGTTCTTAGAGTTTTTGTAGCCCAAATTAAAGAAAACGAACTGTCTTGGGACTCTTGAATGGGCAAGTTTGGACTCTGCAGCAAAAAACATGGAACTAAATTGTGATTCATTATTAGGATAGAGGGATCAATATCTTAATCCAGAAGGGGTGATCTGGGAGCATCTGAATTATAAGAATATCACTCCGTCTTTGTACACTAGGTATATTTTGACAGTCTACTATGACTATGGGCTGAGAATTGTGTTTGGCATTTGGGCTACCAAGCTATGCAAGTCTTTGCCAACATCCTTGCTGTCACAGAGAGCACTGTCCAGCAGGGGAGACAGACAACCAAGGATTGTATGTGTTAAGTGACATGAGAAAGGACATAAAGCACTCTTACAGGAGCCTATAGTAGGAGTAGCCAACCTAGTCTAGTGCACAGTGGAAGTTTTCCCAGAGGAAATAACCATTTAACACCTGGAAAGTAACCATAAGTTACTAAAGTTAGGGGGTGAGAGGAGAGTGGTCTCTAAAAAGAGAAAACAGTGATTTGAAGAGTTGGAGGTGACTGGGAGCATGCCGGAGAAGCTAAAACATGGTGATTCTGACTAAGGTTAGGGATGGTGTGTGTGTGTGTGTGTGTGTGTGTGTGTGTGTGTGTGTGAGTGTGTGTGTGTGTGTGTGTGTGTATTATTGGCCTGAGGTGTAGACATATGTGCACACAGGTGCTGGTAGCAAGGGATAAGTCTACAGAGGAAAACAGAAGCCAGTTTTGGATAGCCATGCAAGTATATGAGGGGTTCATTTTCTACTGTCACTTGCCAACACCCCTCTTTCTTTCACCCATTTCCTCTCCTCTTCTTCCTTCCTTTTGTCTCCACTCAGTTTTAAAAGGCTTTTGAGCATGAGCAAAACCCTGGTGGCAAGCATAGTTTAACACAGGGTCTGGCACACAGTAAATGCTCCAGAAACATTTGTTGGGATAAATTGATTCTGAGTTAGCAACCCAGATAAAAGCAGAGGCTGTGGTACTCCAGTTGCTTTGAGAAGCTGCAATCAAAGAAGTATCGTGGAGCTACCAGAGTCCCCCCAAAAGAATTAAAATCTTTATTTGTAGCTTTCAGATAACTTTAAAGGGGACCCAATCCATAACCCACAAAAAGAATGACCTGTTTTTGTATCACAGAAAGTCCAGCTTCAGACAGGTAAAGTTGTGAAGAACAGTATGCGGGAGGGCAGGGGAGTATGGTTCATGTGTTCTATGCTAGGGAAAGCTAGGTGTGCTCAACATAGACACAAACATGCATCTTTACCTCCTTACCTATCAAATGGACAGCTTCCTGACTTCCTGATTCCTAGTGCTCCCAAGCCATGACTCAATAGCATGTCAATTTGGGCTGCTCCTGAGCTCTTCCTCACTTGAGTGAGGACAGCTGTTTCTCTCACCTACAGATGTTGCCTTTCTTTTCTATTCTGAGACTTCTATTTAGTCTTTTTTTTTTTTTTTTTTTTGAGAGGTTTTCGCTATAGGGCGCGTGCGCTCGCCAGACAGACAGAGACAGAGAGACAGAAAGCAAGAAATCACCCCCCAGGGGGATGGCCATGCCACAATCCCTTCTCCTCCATTCTCCTCTCGGGATTTTGGGCACACATGCACACGCGCTTGGTGTGTTTTAAGCCACCAGGTCCGGGACACAAACCGCGGTTGACTACGTGGGAGTCCAGCGACATAGCCATTACGCTAACTGCTGGTTCCCCCATTTAGTCTTATTTTCTCTCTTTTATTGAGATTTGGGCAGAGGTCCCTAACTTTTTCTTTATGATTATCCTACCAGGGGAAGAAACCAATGGTTTTACTTCAAAGATGATTTTTTTTAAAAATAAGCAATCAGAAATCATTTTCAAAAAGACCACTCTAAAATCCCAAAGGACTCATTGATATTGACAGTTTTCTGTGTGGTTTCAGCATGACTCTGAAGAAAGGCAAGCCTCTTTATTAGGCTTTTATGGTATGTAGAGCATTGGTAGAGTAAGAGACACTTAAAGCATAGTCTCTTCAAATACACCTTAGTTCTTTAATTTTATCTATTTGGGTGCCTCCTTTGTTTATAAGCTCAATGCATTGCTTACAGCATATTTGCAGGTGGTGGTCTTCTCATCTCTAGGAATAGTCATGGATTTGAAGTAGTAATTCTTGGATATATTATCTACTTTAAAATTTTTAAAGATTGCTCAATATTATACAGTGCTTTTTGGGTCGCTTTCTGGTAAGCATTCTTATATGAACACTGAAGTTCATGTAGTCCAGAGGAGATGGGCTTACCTGTGTTAAGAAATGCACTCCATCCACTGGTAGGTGAAATCCAATTCCCAAAGTTTTAATGATTACTAGGATATTGAGCAAATTTTCCCTGAATGAAATAATCAGAATTTTAAAGTCATGAGTTTCAATTATATTTCTAGGTCTTTGCTGTTTACATAAACTTGTAAGATGAAATTCTTTCAGAATATGTTATTTAGTATATAAGACTAAATTCCCACTTTAGAGATTCGATGTATATTAGTTCTTTGCTTTTCTGTTTTTGATGTTAGAGTTTTCTCTGTTGATGGACATCTTTGATCCATAGTAAATGTAAATGGATGCTATGTTTGGACCACAAAAATATTTTGAAGTATTTTAACCTTGACTTTAAGTACTTAATTCTAAATTACAAATTGTTCTTTAAATAAAATCTGGATAAAATTCAGACACATCAATAGTAACTTTAAAATTTTTTTTTTTACTTAGAATGCTAATTATTGTTGGAGAAATTTACCTCTTCAGAACCTTGTGGATAATTTGCAGATGATTGGAATTAAGCCACTGAACACCACCAACAACCAATACCGTCTGGTCGGTGTTCTCTAGGGGACGTGATCTGAAATCCAGAAAGAAAAACAACATGTGTTGCCTTAAAACAGATGGTAAACATTTTAACTGCATTGCCTCACATTTCATTGAACTATATCTGGCGTACTGATCGCAGGACCCCCTTATCATTTCCAACTCATTTTCAGCCATATTCCTTGGTATCTAAGCTTTTCAGCACTTTTGAGCAATTATGACCTCCAATAAAACATAAGAATGTTGTGGCATTTTGCCATTCATAATAGTTCCACTGTACCTTTGCAAAAGATATTCAAGTGCTTTTTCAAATGTTGGTCTCAATGAAGAGCTTATCCAGAACTGGGGATAATAGGAATAGCTGACCAAAGTCTTCCCACCATTGACATTGTGATAGAATTTAGTGCCATGCACCTTCTGCCATTCCTGCAAGGTTTCATTCAGTCTTTCAATCAGATAGTACATGATCCCTCTGTTGGTTGAGTCTCCAATGAAAAGAATCTGTAAGTTAAAGAAAAAAAAATACTTGCTCCCGAATCTGATGTTTATATGATAAAGGAGATTGTCTAAAATAACAAATGTTCTGAATATTTATAAACTATGCATCCAATTGCTTGAAGGACAGCCCATCACATGATTAGAAATGATTTTCATCACATTCTTCCCCAAACCTGTTCATTTTCCTCCTTCTTTCTATATTTCTAGTAATGACACCATCTACTGACTCACTAGCTCATGTTTAAAGCTTTTTACTTCATGTCTTCTTTGATTTCTCTGTCTCCCTTATGCTCTTTACTTTCTCATCCAATCAGCTTACCAAGTCTTACTGATATAAATAGGCATAAAGGTATTGTAGTTCTCTAGTCCTACTTAGAGATTTTCCCACCTTCTTTATTTCATAGATGCTGGAAGTAGGAATCTACAGAAGTAGCCCAGTAGTGATCATATCATACTTGAGAAAAGAGCCACAGGACTAGGATCTAATTTTCTGAACCTCATCCAAGTCCTAAAATGCACGTCCCAGTGCCAATTGCTCTCCAACAATGTCTCTCACGCCTGTCCCCTCCTTCTCATTCCCACCAGCACAGACCTGCTTCAGGCTCTCACTGCCTCAAAGCTGTTGGAATTCTCTCCCTGTGGGTCTTCTTCCTTCATGCTCAGTGACTGCCCTCTAGTTCATTCTACACATAGTATTGTTGGAATAAATTTCCACATGCCTAGTTCTGGTCATCTTATTTGCAGGATCAAAACCTTGATTGGCTCAAAAACTTGAAACTGGCTGTTTCCTACAGAATCAAATCCAAATTCCTTAGGGTCGGCTAACATTTACTGCAGGTTTATTGCCTACCAGGTTTTGCGAGATGAAGACGTCACACAACCACAGAGTAATCACTTAATCTCCACAGTTGTGAGATTCGAATCATTATCTCCCTTTCGCAGATGAGGAACTGGAGGCCCAGGAAGGCTGAGGTCATAAATCTAGAACATAGTGAACAGGACCCAAACTCAGCTCCCTGGACTCCAAGTGCAGGGTCCATGGCCACGTTCGCTCTCTGCTTTCCACCATGGAAGCATGTCAGACTCCTGATTTGTCACTGACCATGACTAGCACTAAGTAACATCTGGTTTTCCTTATGTTAATCCATCTTCCTTGAAAACTCCTCCCTTCACAACCCCACCTATCAGCCTGCAGACCCATCTGTACTGACAGGCCTCTCATTCAGTTCCCCCAGTCAGAACAGTCTTTCCTGTTCTCCGTGCTTTCTTTACATTTTAACTTCCATTGTAGGTTTTACTGAAATCTACATGAGGGTACAGCTATTTGTGTCTGTGTCTTTTTTTGTCATAGCTTATCAAGAATTTACCTCCTCTTCTTCTTTTTTTTTTGGAGAGGTTTTTGCTATAGGGAGTGTGCGCTCGCCAGGCAGAGAGAGACAGAAAGCGAGAAATCACCCCCCAGGGGGAATGGTCACGCCGCAATCCCTTCTCCTCCATTCTTTTCTCGGGATCCTGGACACACACGCACATGCGCCCAGTGTGAGTTTAAGCCACCGGGTCTGGGACTCGAACCGCGGTCAACTATGTGGGAGTCCAGCGACATAGCCATTAGGCTAACTGCTGGTCCAGCTTATCAAGAATTTGAGGCTGGGATCAAGTTCTAATTTTAACTTCTATCATAGTCCCAACCATTCAATTAAAAAATATTTAGCAAAGTGAGACCAGCAGTTAGCCTAATGGCTATGTCGCTGAACTCCCATGTAGTTGATCATGGTTCGAGTCCCGGACCCAGTGGCTTAAACTCATGCCGGGCACGTGTGCATGCGTGCCCAAGATCCTGAGAGGAGAATGGAGGAGAAAGGATTGCGGCATGGCCATCCCCCCTGGGGGGTGATTTCTCGCTTTCTGTCTCTCTGTTTCTCTCTGTCTCTCTGGTGAGTGCACACGCCCTGCAGCAAAAACCTCTCAAAAAAAAAAAAAAAAAAATTAATAAATTGAAAGTTTCAGTAAATTGAAAGTTAAAGAAACTTTTGTCCTAGACAATCCATTTTAATGTCTTTGGATAAGATTTAAGTCAGCATTTTTATCCTCTTTTGATATGTGTCTTCCATTAGACAAGCACGTATTTCCTCCTGGTATTAACAGCAGGCATCGCTATCATTTCTCAGGTGCTTCTGCATTTGTCCATCCACAGTGAATTTAGTCAGAATCTGTAAAGGTTTACACTTTCCAGTATAAGAGTCTCCAAGTGGCTGTGTGAAGAGTCCAGAAAGCTTCTTCAATTCTCCTTCAGATCAAATACTCTTACCATAAGCATCCTTGAGTTAAACTGAGTAACGTAAGAAGTCCAGGTCCCAGTCACTGATGTTTCAGGTCAGGGTCCCTTCTGGACAGTACGATTCCAATACAATAAACAATTTATGAAATCACTTGAATTTCTTCTTACTTGATTCAACCCCCGTAATTATTTGTTTGTTTTTCTGCCCTAGAGTTTTTTTATTTAAAGAGAAACTGAGTAATCAGGAAAGCTCTTAGATTCAGATACTGGCAAATTCAACTTCATCTGTATTGCTTGCTAGAGCTGGTATAGTAAAGTACCACAATAGAATTTATTATTATTGTTTACTATTTTAATTTATAAATTCAATTGCTATACATCATTTAGATTGAAAAGAGACTTTAACCAGCATGATATACACTTCAGATCAGCCCAGTTGAGAATACTATACATGTCATCCTCAACAGGTAATAAACCACATCTGTGTCCCACTAATGTCTTACCTCTTTACTTCTTACACTCTTTTCTCTCCTCTCTCCTTCCACTTTGTCCCTAGTGTCCATAACAATTTTCAATCTCCGTATTGTTCACCACAGTGGCTGGGCCAATTTACATTTTTACCAGCAGTGTAGGAGAGTTCCCCTTTCAGCACATCCCCACCAGCACTTATCATTTATTGTTTTTATTTTTTTTATTTATTTTTTTTAATCTTCACCATTCTGATTGGGATTAGGTAGTATCTCATTGTAGTTTTGCTCTTCATCTCCCTTATGATGAGGGATGTTGAGCATTTTTTCATATGTTTTTTGGCTGTTCATATGTCTTCCTTAGAGAGTTCTTTATTCAGCTAATTTTCCCATCTTTTAATTGGGTGAACCATTTTCTTCTGGGTAAGCCACTTGAGTTCCCTGTGTATTCTGGTTATCAGTCCCTTGTGTGAGGTATAGTTTACAAAATTTTTCTCCCATTCTGCAGTTGTCAATGCACACTAATTACCATGTCCTTTGCTGTGCAGAAACTTCTTAATCTGATGTAACCCCACTTGTCTATTTTGGAGATTATTGGCTGTGCTTTGGGGATCTTGCTTAAGAGATCTTTGTTTACCACAATGTCTCCCAGAGTTTCCCCAGTGTTTTCTAGCAGTGGTTTTATAGTTTGAGGTCTTAGGTTTGAGTTGATTTTTGGTAATGGTGACAGATAGGGGTTCAGATTCGTCTTTCTGTATGTGGATACCAAGTTTTTCCAACACCATTTGCTAAAGAAGTTTTCTTTTTCCCACTGAATTGACTAATACCCTTTGTCAAAGATCAGTTGACTGTGTATTTTGGGGTTTATTTCTGGTGTCTCCACTCTGTTCCATTGGTCGTCATGTCTATTTTTGTGCAATGCCATGCTGATTTTATTATCACAGCTTTGTAACATATTTTGGGGTCAGGAAGTGAGATGCCACCCACTCCACTCTTTTTGTGTAGAATTGCTTTGACAGTACAGGGTCTTTTATGAGAATATTTTTTTAAAAAGCACTTATTTATTTATCTGTTTTATGAGCGAGCAAGACAGACAGAGTAGCACTTTCGATAGGCCCTTGAAACTGTGCTCTACCTATAATCTATACCCAGCCTCAGTCAACCCTGGATCAAGGGCACGCAAGTACCTGAAGTACTCGGGAGAGTCTCAGATGGGAAACTAAAACCTTCTCATGTGGGTAAGCCTCACAGAGCATCATGTTTTTGTTTTGCTTTAACCTCTGTGCCACAGTCAGCCTTCTACTTTGGGAACTTTTGACTTAAATATATAATGAAATAATTTTCATTTCATTTCATAGTGAAGGAAGGGAACTGACAAAGAAAATACTTAGACATGTAAATATTTTCATCATAACCCCTTTCTCTAGAATTACCAAAGTAACAAGGACATAGTTAGCAAATCAAGTTATAAAGAAAGAAAAAGAGAAGGCTTCGTGGCCATCTGGGTCCAGTCAATGCAAAGACAGTAAACTGAAGCTTGTTAGCTTCTCCGATTCTTCTGCGCTATTGAGACAGGGACAGAACTGGGTACAAGTGGTACCCATAGACAAGAAAATTTTTATTTTGAATTATTCCCCTCTCCTCTCTTTCCTCCTGTAAAGGTTCTATCTTCAGTATTTACAGAAGTGTTAGCATTTCTTTGAATCTGATGAAATGCACATAGATGCCAACATGGGACTGGAAATTTCCAAGTTGGGAAATCAGTCTAGGAAATGCCTATTTACTGGAGACCTTTCAAACAGGTATAATAAAGAAAATGAAATAGAGATGAGAAGGAGTCTCATTCATTACATCCTGTTTGGGGCCAAGCATAGCCCATACGCTGAGGAAGCGCCACAGGAATTTTGATAAACCTCTGCTCTCACAAGATAAATATTCATTTTTAAATGAGGCAAGGAGGGGTTCAGCTGTAATATGAAGCTGAGACTGATCCGATAGCCAATGATAACTAAGTCATGGTGAAAATCTAACTCAGCAAAGCATCTTTCCGTGAAATTTAATATGGCTACGATGAATGTTTTCCAATCGTGCATTTTAATTAAATTGGCTATAGATGAACAGCTGAATTGCTGTTTGGGGTCAAAAACAAAGATTGACATTTAGTCAAATCACTCTTAAACACAAAATTTGGACAAAAAAAAATAAAATAAAAGCCAAGCTACCACATGACATTGCCTCGACAGATCTCCTGGCTGCTT